TAAAGTTAAATTTACATTTTAAAAGAGTTTTACCGCCAAAATGGCAGCCATCTTGGAATTTTTTGTGATGACGTCATTATTCCGATTAAATTTTTTAACGAGAGTGAGGAGTAACTATTTAGCCAAGCTCTTGTTACATTTGATATACATAGCAAATGTAAAAGTGACTAAAAACATACATTTATTTCTCCTACCCCCATCTTGATTAGCCAAAAATAGGATATTTTGGGCTATAAAAAAAATTGCCCAAGCTCTAAGAATGGGGATTTTTTTCTGAGACACTATATGATATACTGATTCAGAAAAACTAAAAATAAATTTTCCTTTACTTTTTTTCCGCTAATTTCCTACTGCACCCAGGCTATAGAGTAGCATTGCTATTAAAACAAGGTTAATTTGTTTAGGCTAATGTGGCTAGGCTAGTCCTAGCTGCTGTATATGGTATGGCCTGGGTGCAGGTCAACTCGGCCACAAGTCAACTCGGCCACAGTCAACTCGGCCACAAGTCAACTCGGCCACAAGTCAACTCGGCCACAAATCAACTCGGCCACAAAAAGTTCGGCTACAGCCAACTCGGCCAAAAGTCAACTCGGCCACAAGTTATTTAATGTAAATCTAAGTTTTTGCATCCTTTTTCTTCAATATATGATTGAAATAAAGTACACAGTATGTTTTAGTAAAATATTTTCTCTATGGTAAAACAGGACCACCACACTACCAAAAGAGATTTGAATGCTATTGCCTATGAATTAAAAAGAGTTATTTATTAATGTGTTCGTCTTCTGTTTACTCACAACATTCTACTTCAACAATAATATTAAACAACTATAACGACAATAAATTAGTAATATTTACATTAATAATACTAATTAGTCATTATGACGATAATAAATGTGATAATAACAACAACATTAATAGTAATATTTATTTTAACAAATACTAATAATACTAGTATGGTAATAATAACGATATTTAAATATCAATTTTAATAACTAATTAGTGATAATAACGATATTGAAGGTGATAATAGCAATAATACAACAATAATAAATTAAAGATAATGTTTATTTTTATAATAATAGTAATACTAATTAGTAATAATAATAATAATGATACTTAGGCCTACTTAGTAATAATAGGGTAATAATATCGATAATAAAGGTGACAACAACAACAATAATATTAATAATAATAATAATAAATAATAATAATAATAATAATATGAGAAAAATACTAATAAAACGCCCATAACAACAACTTTTTAAATAACTATTATTAAAATAATAATACTAAGACTAATAAATAATAATAATAATAATAAATCGAAAATTATTATTATATGGTACTGTAATAATAATATCAGCAAAAATTTGAACAATACCGTATATAATGTTAATGCTAAGACTAATAATTAATATTAAAACTAACGGTAATAACAACAACAATAACAACAATGACAACAATAATAACAGCAATAATAATAACAATAAGTATAGTAATACTTAAAGAATTAGTATTTTATACTTGATGAATTACTCCTTCAAGTCGTAGGGCTGTCTCTTATTCACATCTAGTTGTGTATAAGATGGCCGAGTTGACCTGTGGCCGAGTTGATTTGTGGCCGAGTTGGCTTGTGGCCGAGTTGACTGTAGCCAAACTTTTTGTGGCCGAGTTGACTTGTGGCCGAGTTAACTTGTGGCCGAGTTGACTGTGGCCGAGTTGACTTGTGACCGAGTTGGATCGAATTCATGCTATTTAGCAATTATTGTGCAGAGATAACATGAGCTAATCAAGTATATATATTAATTATGTAATGTCTTCTTATAAATAACATCTTTTTAAAAGGAAATTATGGCATAAATACAAATATATTTGGAGCCATTTCTATGCAGGCATTTGAATATGTCACAGCAACGGGCCCTTTCCACTGCTATCTTTTAATTCACCAGAAAGGCAATGCAAACTATAACAGGCAGTAATTATAGCCAGGATTAGCACACTGTATCCTCCTACAGTATAAACTACCTCATACGATACTGTAATATACTACGCGTATGTGTCCCCATCTAGCAAGCGACGTTAGCCCAACGTTGGTTGAAGGTCAAACAATTGCGTTGGCACAACGTACTGTAGTGACGGCCGCCGTCTGTTCGAGAGACCGATCAACGGTAACGACCTCTAACCCCGGCATCTGTGTATTTGCATATCCTGCCCTCAGGTGTGCAGAGGAGGGATCGCCGAGATCTTTGGGAATTGTCGTCACTCGTACACTGGACTTTATGCAAGACGCATCATACCTAGCTAACGCTACAGGATTTGTTTATGTGTATCTGGTGTCCGAGTCTACACAGGAGTATAATTGCCAGCGCTGTGGGTGCTACTGTGTTCGTATATATTGGAGTATTATCGCCTCGAAGCTAGATATCCCATTGGATAAGGTAAGCTCCACTCGGTACCTTTTATATCCCAGTATATATATAGGCGATAATTATTATCTATATGCTAATGCTATAGCTATCTTCCACAACTTGCTGGTGCATTACGCGCCACAATAAACAGATCTACAGGGTTTACTCCGAACATGCTGATGCTAGGCCGGGAAATTAATCTTCCCGCTGATTTGATGTTTGCCCAGTGCCAGTCGGGGGAAGCTCAGGAAGTTGGGGATTACATCTCAGAATTGGTTTGTTCCATTCGGGACGCCCACGATACTGCCAGGGAGACCCTCAAGGAGACTCAGAAGCGCATGAAGAAGAATTACGATCTGCGTGTTCTGAAGCGGCCTTACCAACGTGGGGATAGGGTGTATATACTCGATAACAGCACCCCCAAAGGCAAATGCAAAAAACTTATAATAGACGTCATAACTCCGTGTTTATTCAGGGTGCAGTTGAGGAACAAAGTGATGATCCTCAATCATGATCAGGGGCGGATCCAGAAATGTCCAAAAGTGGGGGCCGGAAGGGGGGCCGAAAGTTGGGCCGATTGAGACAACACTGTCGTAGGGGGTCTGGGGGCATGCCCCCGCGAAATTTTTGTGTTCTAGACGCCCGAACATAACATTTGAGGCATTCTTAGCCATCATTTTTTCCTTTTCTCTCTTTTTTTTTCTTTTTTTTTCTTTTTTTACCTCCCAAAGGGGGGGGGGCCGGCGGGGGGGGCCGGGCCGCCCCCCCCCCTAAATCCGCCCCTGATGATAAGTTGAAGCCGTGCCTTGATAGACAGCTTCCCAAATGGTTGATTAACTATGTTTTACCATCTTCCTCTTTACCTACAGATAATGCGGATGATGCCCCAGGAACGCTGTATTGCAGTTGTCACAAACCCTTGGCAGGCGCCTTTATGATTCAGTGTGATTATTGTGATGTCTGGTATCATGGCTCATGTGTCAACATCTCGCCATCGGATGCCCTGGACATTGATTTGTATAAGTTTGCCCAGTGTAGAAACCCTGGCCAGTTGACTATTCACTAACGTGTAATGTTAATAACTAATTCAAGTTCCCTGGTTAATATCATGTCCATTTCTAACCACATGTATTGTATTTCCTTACTCTCGCAGAAATGGATAAGCAAGATCAACTGCCGTCCGCTGATGAGATGGACGTTCAACTTAGTGTGGTTGAGGAGAACAACCTCCTCGCCGATTCACCTCACCCGCCACCACTGGAATCACTTCCGCCCGCACAGCCGTTGCCGCCAGCAGTGTCGCCGTCAACGGAGCCCAAGGCGGACATTCATCCAGTGGAACCAACTCCATCCTCAGCCGAACCATCCCAACGCCAATCACTGCCTCCGGAAAATGCTTGCGTTTGGCCGGGGTGTAATATTAAGAGGGTCGTCAATATGAGGGAGCATGTTATGGGCAAACATGTCCCACAAAATCTGAAACCCTTGGGTCGTATTTCCCGACGCCAAGCCCAACGACAGCTCGACGTTTTGAGACAACTGGCTGTAGCGTGTATAGGTGAAGGGCCCACCTTACACGAACTCATGATTCGCCTGAACCGATAGAGAGGGATGGGAGAGTCAGGGGTTAAGTTTGCCATAGATCATCGCACCTACCGAGCTATACAAATGATTTGTGCGGAGATGGGTGGGGAAGAGCCCGGGGTGTTTACAGTTAATCCTGCAAATCACCCTGCATCACTGATCCACTGGCGATGTTTGGCGGCTATTGCCGTCCGCGTCGAGCCGGGTGTCCTCCGGACTATCCTTCAGCGAGCGAAGGGGGAGGTTACCGTTCAACACGCTATTCAACCCCCTCAACCCCATGGAAAGAGGGTTCGTCAGGAGGAGCCGAGAAAAGAGAAGGGCGCTTCCACAATCACGTGGGACGCCACATTCTTTCCAGGGCTCAGCGGCGAAGGCGTATGACGCCCATTTCCACCTGGACCGTTTGCGTCAGGGGCTGAGGGTGTCTTCTTGGGCCATTCTCGGTGACCTGGAGCGGGCGAAGCCAGCAAGGGGCGACGTCCTTCCCGTGTCTGTGGTTGGGGGTGTTACAGTTTACTGTGACCCACAGACCTACCCCACGGCACGGAAAGTGCATTTCATCACCCGGGATCTACACCTGGAAGTTGCCGTAGGTATTCATCCGAAACATGATTTGACATCTGACCAATTTGATCGGCTTTACTCCCTATCAAGAATGAGGGAGGTGAGGATCCTAGGGGAAATTGGCCTTGATCATACCCGCCCCCCCCCCTCGGATTGGTATCGCCAGGAAAACCTCTTCCGAAGAGTATTGAACCGGTGCTATGCCCATCACCAGCACCGGGTAGTGTGTTTGCACCTAC